GGACCTCTAAATCATCCCACCAGCAGTTTAGAAGAGTTTCAGTTGCTCCCCATCATCACTAACACTTGTTTTCAGGTAGCTACACAATAGAGTACTATACAGAAATGAGAAGGAATGAATTACAACTATATGCCACAGTACAGATGAAAAGCAAAAAAATAATATTGAGTCAAATAAGCTAAATATAAAAGAATACATATTGTAAATTCCATTTTTTGTGTGGTGGTTGGTTATGTGCCGTGGAGTCGGTTCTGACTCATAGCGGCTCTGTACAGGGTTTCCAAGACTGTAAATCTTTAGGGAAGCAGAACGCCCCATCTTTCTCCAGCAGAACAGCTGGTAGTTTCGGACTGCTGACCTTAAGGTTCGCAGCCCGATTCGTAACCACTACATTAGTGTTGTTGTTAAGTGCCGTCGAGTCAGTTCCGACCCATAGCGACCCTGTATAGATCTCCAAGGAGCGACTGGTGAGCTTGAACCACTGACCTTGTAGTTCAAACAGCTTTGCAGTCTGACGCATTAACTCACAGTGCCACACCAGGACGCTAGTGTAGAATCATTTATATTAGGACTCCTAGTATGACGCTGTAGGAGCAGAACTAGATGTTGAATCACAAAGTCAGCAATTCAAACCAATCAGCTACTCCTTGGAAATCCCATACAGGATTGCTATGAGTCAGAACTGACTCCATGGCACATCACAATAACAACAACATTTATATTACTATTTTAGAAAATTAATGTACGTGGTTAGATGTTTGAGGAGCCCTGGTGGCACAGTGGTTAAATGCTCAGTTGATAACCTAAAGGTTGTTGTTGGTGTGCCATGGAGTCAGTTCCAATTCATAGCAACCCTGCGTAAGCCTAGTCTTCTTCCCGCGGAATGGCTGGTAGTTTCAAACTGTTGACCTTGAGGTTACGAGCCCGACTCATAACCACTGCACTACTTTGTTGTTGTTGTTAAGTGCCGTCCAGTCGGTTTCAACCCATCGCGACCCTGTACAGGGTTTCCGAGGGTGTAAATCTTTACGGGAGTAGAAAGCCTGATCTTTCTCCCGCAGAGCAGCTGGTAGTTTCGAACCGCTAACCTTAAGGTTCGCAGCCCGATTCGTAACCACTATGCTACCGGGCTACCAGAGCTCTAGAGCTCCTTAACTCAAAGGTTTGAATCCACTAACCACTCTGATGGAAAGATGTGACGATCTGCTTCCGTAAAGTTTTGCCGCCTTGGAAATGCTATCGGGAGGTTCTTTGGTGTTCTGTAGGGTCTCTGTGAGTCAGAACTAAGTTCATAACAATGGATATATGGTTCGATGTCTACCCTGAAAAAAAGTATTTAGATGTGGGCAGGAGAGGAGCTATGTGTGGCTTGTAATATTAAAAAAAGCAAACTATATGTTGTTTAAATTATATATCTATAATTTCATAGAGTATAATAATTCTAATGATACGCTTTTCTGTATGCATGCTATTATTCAATAAAGTCTCAATAGGAGATGTAGAGCCTGGGGTTTCCTAGCAAAGCTACATCTCTGGTTCTGAGAATTAGCTTGTTACTGGATTCTGCTGACATGTTTGATTTTTTAAAAAAATTTTAAGAAGCCTGTTGAAGATTTGCCCAGCAACAACAAAATAAACTGAAATTCCTTTTAAAAAACGGCTTCAGTGTTTTATCTGGAATGCTATTTTCTTTCCTGGAGGTAGTATATGGCAGCACCCCCCACACCCAGCTGCTCCTCTGAAATGCCATACTGGGTTGCCATGT